CTATGGCTCAATGACGTCAGTGCAGAGCTGGCTGTGGATGCTTCCTCGCTGGAAGAACTCCTGAACAAGTACAGGGAAGACAGCCATGGCTGGATTGTGATTGCAAAGCAAGACAGTCAGGAGAGGGGTTTCAAGGTCAAGAGTCTCTCCCCAAGAGAAGAGTTCGACATCCGAGGCTCTGAACTCGTTCCTTGGCTGCGGAACGAAATACGTGCGCGCTACCAGCGCGAGGGCGCAGCGGACCCCTTACGGCAGTCTCGTCTGCCCAGCCAAGCAGATCCAGGACCTTCCTTCAATGAGCGGTTCAGCGATGTCCGCATTCTTGTACCCCAGCATCGAAGCAAGAAGTCCAACCGCAGGAATATTGTTGAGACAGGTATGCTTAATTTGTCTTTTGAAATTACATAGACCCCGCTAACTCCGTCCAGCATTATTCCGATCCCGCGAGGTGGTCGAGGATGCCCTGAACGGGCCAGTTGCCGCCATAGATACTCGCGATGAGCTGCTAGAAGCCATCAGGAACACCCGCCTCTCCGACCCTGAAAGCTGGCGCACAGTCATCCAGAACGCGCCCTTGACAGAACGAAAGTACCTCACGCAGGTCCATGAACTACTACTAGACCTTGCGACGGAAAGTCGTGTAGATGGGATGGAGAGTTTCAGCAATGCTTTCATATACAACTACCGCACAGGGTCATGCATATACTACGACCTTGGAAGCGCAGCCGACAGATGAAATGATGTGTGATGTTACGTGTTATGTGTCTCTTATTGTATCTGCTGTTGATTGAATCTCCTCTTCGAATATACCCACAATTATGCCATGCAAACAAGCGTTGAAATTAGCCATTCCATAGAATCCAAACGATGAAATGAAGACCAGTCAAGTCAAAGCACATTTTCAGGTATCTCTGCTATAGTACACGTAAGAATGCATGCAATTAATATCAACCGAATTACTCGCTATCATCGTCACTCCCGTACGCCACCAGAGGTCCAGCAGCTTTAGGCGCCTGCTGCGTCGTAACACTACCCCCAGCCAGGCCCTTGAGCGCCGCAACGGCAGAGCTGGAGAAGATCCCTCCGGCCTGTTCCTCCTGCGGAGCAGCTCCACCAGCAGCAGTCTCCGACGCACCCTCAATCATCAACGGCTGCTCCGGAGCCTCCAACTGCGCAATCGCATTTGCATCCTCCAACTCCTTCGCGCGGGAGAACCACACCTCATCCGGCGGCTCATACCCCTGCAACCCATAACTCCCCTCAATCTTCTTCCTCTTCTTAGCCTCCGGATCCCTTCCCTCCAACTCAGCCACAAACTCCGCCGGCAAGGCCCTCCTTACCGCCTCCGCAGCTTGCTCCTCCAGCCGTCTCGCCTCTCTCTTCTGCGCCAACGGGTTCGGATCGACCGTAGCCCACCTCACATTCAAGATCTCATTATGATCCAAACTCTGATGCGCCATGGCCTCCTTCGCAAACTGCGCGTTCGCCTCATTCGTATACGTCACAAACGCAACACCCCGGGACGTAAGCACGCGAATCCGATCAATCTGTCCCCATTCCTGGAAATTCCTCGCCACCACTTCCTCAATCGAATCCGTCACATGGATCCGTCCCACATACAACGTGCGATTCTGTCTCATGAATGACCCCACACCGCCCATATCATCCCGATAATCACTGAACTTATCCCGTCCGAAGCAATCCACGTTCGGGTTGAATATATCGTGCAGTGTTGGTAAACGGTGCAGGTACTCGCACTCTGCGCCGCGCGGACATATCCCCCGCGCGAAGAACAGGCAGAAGTATGACCCTGGGACTTTATCGGCCCGTGTGTAGCCGCTGTCGCGCGCAATGTTGCATCGTGATGGTGCGGCTGTCTTGCTTAGGTAGGAGTTCTCGCGGTCACCGCCGCTCCATTTGTTGTACCAGATGTTGAAGATCGTGCCGACTTGCGGTGGGGGCTCCGATTTGATTGTCGCTGGGTCGACTTGGGGACGTGCTGGGCGGCGCTTGCGCCGGATTATCTTTTTGGTCTTCTTTGTAGGTTCGACGGTGCCGTCGGCGGTCGTTGTTAGGGCGGTGCTTTCTTCTGTCGTTTCGGTTTCTTGTTGTTGTTGCTGGGGTTGTTGTTGGTCTTCGACGACCTCCTCCGTAGGAGGGATTACTGTTTCAGTTGGAGGTGTTGCTTCAGCCATGGCTGCTGTGATTTGTGGAGGGATTGGGGATGATGTGAGGTGAAGGTGATGGAAGAGATGAGATGTTGATGTTTGAAGTCGGCAAGTTCGAAGATTCCGCCGGAGGTGGCAATTACGTAAGCGGGGTGGGTGCTTGGCGCGGCGGACGATTTTGAGGACGATTTCCCCAGACCAGAGCTGCTCGTTTTCTTGCGCTGCGATCACGTCGATTTTCGGGGAGATATCTCGCTCGTTTGATAGATACTTGAGAGATTTTGCTTGCCGCGAAATCTAGCTTCGGTTGTCTGGTTGTGTCGTTTGTTGTATCTGGAAAATCGAGTCCGCGGGGCTCTTAAACCGGCAAGATGGTGAACATTACGGAAAAAATCAAGGAGTATGTCGCCCATCTCGCAGGTCTTTTGGTGCTCTTTAGTGGATATGGATTGCTCACGCTTTGTTCTTGCTTTATAGGATCGAAGATGAGATGCGCAGGACGCAGAGTAAGTGTTCCGGTCCCATATAAGGTCTTGATAGCCCCGCCATGCTAACTTCCGTGCAGAGAACAAGGCCACAGGTGCGATTTGATGTCCCGGTTGATATCAGATTGTGTGTAAACTAATGTACTCTTAACTATAGAGTATCATCTTGGTCTACTGAAGGGGTAAGGAGAGCTCATGCCCCTCATCTTCAAGTTTACCCCGCCATGCGGAACCAGCACTAACTGCTACTCAGAAAACTTGCCCGTCTACGAGCCCAGCTCCTGGAGCCCACGGGTGGCTCCGGTGGTGGTGGTGTCGGCTTCGATGTGAGCAAGAGTGGTGATGCGCGTGTAGCTCTCGTCGGTTTCCCCTCCGTCGGTAAATCTACCTTCCTAAGCAAGATCACCAAGACGAAGAGTGAGACGGCCGCGTATGCGTTCACTACGCTCACTGCTATCCCTGGTGTGCTTGAGTATGGAGGTGCGGAGATTCAGATTCTTGATCTGCCGGGTATCATTGAGGGTGCGTCTGAGGGTAAGGGACGTGGAAGACAGGTCATTTCGGCTGCCAAGGTTTGTTTTACCACCCTTTCTGGAGGCTGTATTTCGTTCGGGGCTGATCTAGGTTAGACGAGTGATCTCGTTCTGATGGTGCTGGATGCTACGAAACGTGCAGAGCAACGAGCACTGCTGGAGGCGGAATTGGATGCTGTAGGCATCAGGTTGAACAAGGAGCCTCCGTGAGTATATCAAGTCTTGTTTAATTAGGCTTTGGGCTAATCGGTGTAGAAACATCTACCTCAAGCAGAAGAAGGCCGGTGGCATGAAGATCACCTTCCAGACGCCGCCCAAGTACCTTGATGAGAAGATGATCTACAATGTTCTCCGCGATTACAAGATGCTCAACTGCGAAGTGTTGGTTCGTGATGAATACGGTGTGTATTATGCTTCATGTCCGAATGAGTATTGTCGCTAACATCTATCTAGCCACGATTGACGACTTCATTGACGTGATCATGAAGGATCATCGTAAATACATCAGATGGTAAACCTTTGTCCGTCTATCTGCATTTCACTCTTCTAATGTGAATACAGCCTCTACGTCTACAATAAGATTGACGGAGTCAGTCTGGACTTCCTTGACCAACTAGCCCGCGAACCACACACAGCTGTCATGAGTTGTGAATTGGACTTGGGTGTGGAAGATGTCGTGGATCGCATCTGGAAGGAACTCCGTCTTATCCGGGTCTACACGAAACGGTTCGTCCAGCCACGATGAAGCACCTATTGCTATGAATGGGGCATTGCTAACGATGCTACAGGAAAGGTGAGGTGCCCGACTTCTCCGAGGCATTGATCTGCCGCAGCAACTCAACTATCGAGGATGTGTGCGACAACATTCACCGCACGTTGAAGGAAACGTTCAAGTATGCGATGGTATGGGGAGCGAGTGCACGCCATATCCCGCAGCGGGTGGGCTTGGGACATGTGGTGTCGGATGAGGATGTGGTGTCGATTGTTGCTAAATGAAGCGGAAAATAGTTCATGCATTCTACACTTTAGTTCAAGCAACGGCGACTGTTTTAAATATGCCCGGACGGAGTAGATACTAGACTTGGTGTATTCTCTGCAGATCTCGTTTTGAGTCGTATGAACCCACCGGAAATCCCGCGGAGAAGCATCTGGTGTTGTAAGGATTAATGGGATAATATGGGTCAGTGCAAGTCACGTCACGCTCTGCATCATTCTTCAGTGTTCAGGGTCCACCTGGCAGGGAATACAGGAAGATTGATTAAGGGTACACGCGTCAGGGTATTGACTACCGGTCTTGCCAAAGCTTAGCCTGTGCACTATAGGATTTAACTTCCTTATTGGGCGGTAATCACCCGCTTTTCTCGGGCTTATCGCCTCCCCATCGGATAAAGCAACTTCCCCCATCTTTCTACTCCATCTCCAGCGCTCTCTTTCTCTGTCTGTTGCCCTCTTTTGCTATCATTCTTCACCGCGCCAGTCCCTTTGCTGCTCTAATCTGCTTTCAAGGCGAATCAGCATGTCATCTCCCATCGCTGGTCTTATCCAGCATCTTCATGGTAAGCAAATACGCTGCCGATCGACGTCCTCTTCATCCCGTTAATCCCGAGCTAACCGGTCCACAGATGACACGAACGGTGCCTGACGATCTATGCCGCGGGACAGTCACTAAGCATTTCACTTTCGAACCCAGGGGACGCGTACATCTTCTCCCTTGACCAATGGCTCATCCTGTCTTTCCCTTGATTACGGATGTCCGTAGTGGGTCGATGATGCTTGTCCTCCTTAATCTAGATACAACGATTGCATGGCTTTGGCGGGATACCATGACGATAAAAACAGTACTACGAAGCAGGCAACGGCCATTGTCGATTTCATAAATGATATAAAACCACTTGACCGCCAGCTGGTATCTGCCCAGTAGTTCACAGCGGCAAGCACATTCTTTCCACGCATTGAAAGTCCCTCTTTTCAGTCACTCTCTTGCAATGCGCTCCAAGATGAGCCTTCTGGCCGGCACGGCCACACTCTCCCTTGCCCAGGCCACCAGCCTGGCGGATGTCTGCACATCCTCCTACGCTCGTTCCGTGGCCCCCAGCAGCCCCCTCATGGGCATCACCGTGGACACCACCTCCATCACTGCGAACCCGGTCTACAACTACAGCTCCGCCTCCACAGCCTTCTGGCCTGCCTCCACCTTCGATTTCTGTAACGTCACCCTGGCCTACACCCACGATGGGCTCGATGACCAGGTCCTGCTGCAGTTCTGGCTCCCTGCCCCAGCCGACTTCAAGAACCGCTGGCTCTCCACCGGTGGTTTCGGCTATGCCATCAACGGCGACGGCGCTGACCTGCCCGGCGGTGTCATGTACGGCGCTGCCTCCGGCCAGACAGACGGTGGTTTCGGTAGCTTCTCCACCGAATTCGATGCCGTCTTCCTGAAGGCCAACGGTACCATCGACCGCCAGGCCCTCTACATGTTCGGCTACCAAGCCCACTACGAACTCAGTGCCGTCGGCAAGGCCTTCACCAAGAACTTCTTCGACCTTGGCTCCTCCAAGCTCTACGCCTACTACCAGGGCTGCTCCGAAGGTGGCCGCGAGGGCTGGTCCCAAGTCCAGCGCTTCGGCGAGGAATGGGACGGCGCTGTCATCGGCGCCCCTGCCATCCGCTACGGCCAGCAGCAGCCCAACCACCTCTACCCTGGTCTCGTCGAATACACCATGGGCTACTACCCCCCGCCCTGCGAACTCGAGAAGATCAACAATATGACCATTGCTGCCTGCGACGCCCTTGACGGCAAGAAGGACGGCGTCGTCGCCCGCACCGACCTCTGCAAGCTGCATTTCAATGTCAACTCCACCATCGGCGCCCCCTACTACTGCCCCGCCGAAACCACCACCACTGTGCTCAAGAAACGTCTCTCTACCAGCAACACCACCCCAGCCCAAAACGGCACCGTCACCAAAGAAGGCGCCGCCGTTGCTGCCAAGATCCTCGATGGCCTGAAGACCCTCGACGGCAAGCGTGCCTACATCTGGTACCAGCCCAGCGCGACCTTCGACGACGCCGAAACGCAATACAACTCTGATACTGACTCTTGGGAACTGGACATCACCTCCCTGGGTGGCGAATGGGTCGCCAAGTTCCTCGAACTCTACGACGTTGATAACCTCTCCACCCTCGACAACGTTACCTACGACGTCATGACGAAATGGATGACTCTGGGCTGGCAACGCTACGAAGACGTCCTGCAAACCACCTGGCCCGACCTGACCCCGTTCCACTCCAACGGCGGCAAGATCATCCACGTCCACGGCGAATCCGACCCCAGTATTCCCACCGGCTCCTCGGTTCACTACCACGAATCCGTCCGTAAAACGATGTATTCCTCCCTCTCCTTCAACGAGTCCTCCGACGCCTTGAATGACTGGAACCGTCTGTACCTTGTCCCTGGTGCTGCACACTGCTCGTACAGCACGGACCAGCCCAATGGCGGCTGGCCGCAGAGCACTCTGCCTACGTTGTTTGATTGGGTGGAGAACGGCCAGAAGCCGGATCGCTTGAATGCTACGGTTCAGGAAGGTGAGAACTATGGTCAGGTTCAGCAGTTGTGTGCTTGGCCGTTGAGACCTTACTTCGTGAACAACGGGACGGAGTTGACCTGTGTCTTTGATGAGGAGTCGTACCAGACTTGGGTGTACGATTTCGATGCTTATGACCTGCCGCTATACTAGGTATTTGGGAAGCAGTTAGTTGGATGAGGGGGTATGTTTAGTGACGAATGTATACTATTGTGTACCATGTATGTCTGACTGAGATCTCTGCATTTGTAGTATAGTGTATATATCACAGTAGTAGTATGTATGCACCTATAATGAGTAGTACCTAAATTCCAAGAACGACCATAGCCTTGTTTCTCTCCGGACACCGCCACTTTACTTAGTAAGGGCGCTCAATCGGTCTGCTAGCATGTACCAGTTACTCTATGTACTCAATCAAGTCTGGCACTAAGGCCGCTCACCCCTAACCTAGTATGTTCGGCGACCTTTTCGAGGCTTTGACAACAGGAACATCACGTATATTGATCACATCTATAATCCTCTCCATCTCAGGTTCTAACGTCCTCCAGCTCTATCGAGAGCCGGTTGTCCCCAATCCCTCATCCAATCCGAGGACAAAACCTGCTGTGCTGTCGCTCTTTCATTCGGCCTGAAGGCCAACATCGACAGAAGCATCGCCCTGAACGCCCTCCTCTCAGTCTCCGACACAAATTCTAGGCCCGCCTGAGCCCGAGGCTCCTGTATACAGTTCTCGAACCTCTGATCCCAGGACATACGCACACCATCCGGACCCCTAGACCTTTTCTTCAAATCCAGCTCACCCTCTTCTTCATCAAACCATTCGCGTCGTCCGCTCCACTTCTCCCACCACTCAGGAGGTAAAACACCAAGGGTTTCTACTTGCTCAGCGGTCACACGGTCAGGAGTAGCGAAAAAGGCCTCGAATAGAGGCCGCTGGCCGAAGACCTCCCAGATGGCACAGGCAAGTGTCCAAATATCCGAGGGGAAGGAGAGCGGCTCGTTAGAGAATCTAGCTTCGGGTGGCTGAAGGAGAGGAAGAGTCTTCGAAGAGAATCTGGCTGTTTCGTGTGGGTTGAACGATTCTCCGAAATCGCTGAGGAGGATCTTCTCTTCCCCGAGAATTATATCGTCACTGTGAACGCCGTACCAGCTGGGGATGAACACGCGTGCGGGTATGTTATTTGATAGTGATAATGGCTTGCCGTCGAGACGAATGACGGCTTCGGAATATGGCTCGCCGAATTTCTTGTATAGCTCTGCGGTGGAAAGGGTATCGATCACTTCCCCAGGGAATTGGACTAGGATGTTGCCGAGATGGAGGTCTTGAGAAGTTTTTGGAGTCAGCTAACCAATCCAGCTATACACATCCATACATATCACATACCGCCATGTACAATATCCTGGCTATGAAGGAACGTGACCCCACGAATAAGCCGAGCAACGATTGATCGCGCAACATCCGGGTGAAAAAGACCAAACGTCGATGCCTCTTTGGCATCAAACAAGCTCATACGTGCCGACGGAGTAACTATGCATCTATGCTTCCCATTGGGCCCGGCAATCCAGAACTCATCCAAGAGTCGTGGGATGATCTCATGTCCCGAACCAGGTTGCTGCGAGTTTCCAAGAGATGATAGAAGACTAGCCTCAGGTGTAGAGGTGCTAGCATCAGCGGTAATGGCTTTCACTGCCACGTATCTGGCCCGGTGTAGGTCTTGGCCTAGCCATATAGTCGAGTATCCTCCATACCCGAGTTTGTCGACCAGTCGATATCGACCCTTGTTTAGTTCGTCTCCAATCTCTAGAGGATGGTATCCTCCAGGGCAGTATCTGTGCAGGTCTTCGACGTCTTCAATTAGCCTGTACTGCGGCTTGCTAGGTCTTATGGTTGACGTTCGACATTCGTTGGACGCGTCTGTATCCGGGTTCGTCTTATGTGACTTCGGGGGAGTGAAGCTGGACATCAACGAGGTCTTGCGGACACAAGGCTGGTGTGAAACAAGACTCCATACTTGCTTGTGGGATCGGACATTAATGTGAATGCAAGTACTACGTGTGAACATCTGCAGGCATGGGCACAAAGACTGTAACGACGTTTGGAAACCACTTCACTCTACACGCTCTTGGACCAATCATGGATGACAAACGTCACGGGATCTCATGTTGGACTTTATCATCCTTCAGGTACGAGGGAATGGCAGCTCATTATCTACATTATTATGGAGCGGAAAAGTACGGGTGGACATATTATGTGTGAAGTGAAAATATATTCCTAAACCGAATGTACCCAAACTAAACCGAATGAATCATGTACAACCAAAGATATTCCGACCTATCCCAAACCCAAACTCCAGTTCCAAATGACATTCCATTTAAGCGGCAGCGGCGGCAGCAGCAGCAGCGGCAGCCACGTTCTGCATGCCAATGGTAGGCTGGACGCCCACACGCTCCTTGGCCAAGAGGTCAACCAAAAGAGGGCTGGGGACGGTGTTCCGGTTGGGGTGGAACGCCAGCTGGTGGTTCTTGTACTTGACGACGCTGTCCAGGTAGATGTCGAAGAGGTAAGAGGAGTCCAGGGGACCGCCCTTGGCCTCGGGGTGGAACTGGGTGCTGAAGATGGGACGAGTCTTGTGGATCATACCCTCGTTGCTAGAATCGTTCAGGTTGACGAAGTAGGGCTTCCAGTCGGAAGGCAGGGTGGAAGCATCCACGGCATAACCGTGGTTCTGGCTGGTGATGTGGCAGCGGCCAGTAGTGGTGTCCAGAGCCGGGATGTTGTGGGCACGGTTACCATACTTGAGCTTGATGGTGCGAGCACCGTTGGCCAGAGCCAGGAGCTGGTGACCCAGACAGATACCGAAGATGGGCACCTGGGAAGTCTCCATCAGGCGACGGAGGTGGTAGACGGTGTCCTGGCAGTGAGTCGGGTCACCGGGGCCGTTGGAGATGAAGACACCATCGAAGTGGTGGGCGACCTTGTGGATGGGGTAGTCGAAGGGGAACACAGTGATACTGGCTCCACGGCTGACCAAGCTACGCAGGATGTTCTCCTTGACACCGCAGTCGATCACAGCGACGTGGCACTGGGGGTCAGCGGCGCTGACGTGGAAAGGAGCCTTGGTGCTGACCTGGCGGACCAAGTGGATCTGCTCAGGATCGACGAAGGCCTCATCCTGGTCAGCGTCGTACTCCTCACCGACGGTGATACGAGCGAGGGAAGAACCCTGCTCACGGAGGTAGGTGACAATGGCACGGGTATCGACGCCGGAGATGGCGGGCACACCCTCACGGGCACACCATTCACCGAGACTCTCGACGGCGGTCCAGTGGCTGTACTGCTCAGCCACATCGGCCACGACGACACCAGCGGCCTGGAGGTTGGGGGACTCAAAGTACTTGAGCAGACCGTGCTGGTCCCTCTCGGCAGAGGGGACACCGTAGTTACCGATCAGAGGCTGGGTGAAGACCAGGATCTGACCACGGTAGGAGGGGTCGGTCAAGGACTCGGGGTATCCGACCAGAGAGGTGGTGAAGACGGCTTCACCGGAAATGTTGGAGCGGGCTCCAAAGGACTTTCCATGGAAGATGGGGCCATCTCGGATCGTGAAAGTGGCACGTTCAGTGGCGGGACGTCCCTGACGGACGGTAGCCATGAAGCGGGACTGGATAGAAGCATTCACGGAAGTGAAGGCAGGAGCCCTGGCGGGCATGGCCTTGAACACACGAGCGAACATTGTGATTGGATTTATTTGATGTGAGAGAAGAATACGGCGAATTATGTGAAGTGGATTCAGAAGTTTCCGGAAGCTTTCCAGAGGTGATCCGAGATGTAGTCCTACAGATATCATGTTAGTATTCTATCAATGCCTTTCAATTCGATAATGGGATAGCCATGACGAGTGACGATAGTGGCGGGGAGGGGAATGCGGAGCAGCCATGTGAACCCATAGTGAGACAACGTACCTGAGAAGTGAAGACGGAAGGTGCCAAACGCATAAGCGCGACTGTGCTGTTACCAGTCACTGAGGATTGGTATACAAGATTGATTGGAGATGGGAGGGGGTCTAATTAGTTAGACATGGAAGTGCGTTGATGATTCTGGGGGGAGCAATCTGGGATACGGAGAAGAAAGGAAGGGGAGAGAAAGAGAGGGAGAGACCAAGAGATTAAAAAAGAAGGGAAAAAGTGTGCCGGCCCGGTCGGGTGGCACGTGCTTTCCTCACTCACCGACTTGGTTGTGCGTGTCCGGCCAATCGGAGGGCGGCCATTCAACAGTCCGCTATCGGGGAGGCCAACTTTGGCAGGGTTTTATTCATTCCCTTGACTCACTCTTCCGCCGATTCTCGCGCCCTTCACTTGATGGATCCATTTTTTCTTCAATAATGAACCCCAGTTCCTCTGAACAGTAAGGATTAGTGCAGCTCAACAACAGGAACAGCTGCCCAGCCATTCCATGGCTGCCCCAAACAGGGGGCGGGCTCTCCCTTCCCTTCCACTGAGAACTCGCCATGACTCACTATTGATGTAAGTCTCTCCACTTGGTGGGTTTCGTGGTTCTGATAACCCCAAGTATGGCAGATCTTGGTGACTAACTTTTACATAACTGATAGCTTCATTCTCTCTTTCCGGCATATTCTTGACTAATATAAATAGTCTATCCCCGGACGACAATTAAGAATGCTGGGGTTATTCCAGCTCATGGTATACAACCACTACTGCTGGATAGTAGTTGGTGATGGTATATAAAATGCAAGTTGGCGCCGAATGTTACACCGCTAGTCAGCACAAGGAAGACGTTTAATACTCGACAACCAATTGAGTCGTCGCATTGCTCACACACATCCTAGGCTAATGTGCATCTGTAACCAGAGGAGCCAACCAGCTGCGGACAGTCTGCCGAACTTGCCACAGAGCTATCCAATGCAGCACCGGCTCATTTCTGCATGACCGTGATACCCGGCAGATTATACGTTCGGAGACTTGATCAGACCAATACATAAAACTTCAGTAGAAACATATATTGAACTATATCTCATGCATCAGAACTATAAACATCAAACTAGTATATCTTTCCGAGATAACACATCAATGCACCTCATCCTCATAATCCTCCTTCTCCCAGCCCTAACACTCACCCTTGCCCTCCCCAACCGCAACATCAACACCAATAATGATCAAACCCTCCTCTTCCCCTCTCCTACAGACTCTCAACCCTTAGACGACCCCCCCTGCAACGGCACCGGCCTCATCGATCCCAATGATCCTAACCACGACCACCCCTGCACCGGCGATGGTCTAATCCCCCCGTCACCTGCAGACCCTCCTCGCGAGGGCTTCCACTTCGAGAATCCCTCGACAAACTGCACCTACGTCTCGCAACCCCACATCTGGGACTCATTCAAGATCCTCGAAAAAGACATGACGAAGCTTTTCACGCTTATCCACAAGAACGTTAGCTTCACTGTTGTAGGACACCATCCGATTGCGGGACACTATAACGATCTGCTGCACTTTTATGTGAATGCATTGCGAAGAGTGAGTGTATTGTTCATGGATCATGCCGATAAGTTTGAGATCCATCCAGTTGCGATCATTGGGGGGTGTGAGAGTCAATGGTCGGTGCAGGAGGTGAATTTCAAGGGGGTTATGAATTCTGGTATGATCACTTCCATTCTTTAGTATATTGTATATTTGAGGGACGAAGTATACTGATGATGTGCAGGAGACCCATTCGATATCATCAATGTGTGGGTGACAAAGTGGTATCAGGATCAAATGGTCGAGATACGGACGTATATTGATGCGCCGAAGATCATGGAGGCGCTGCATAAGAATGAACTCTGGTGGAATGGGACGTCGAAGAGGGAGAATATGCTGTATATGCCTGGGCCAGCGGGGATGCCGGATTTGAAGGAGTTGGAGGGATATATGGGGTATCCTGATGGGAGGAGGTATGAAGATTGACCTATATCAATCCATCTATCAAGTGTTTCGAGAATTAAATACAGCTGCATCTTATAATACGATAGCTAAGAGCAACAATTCGGTCTGATATATATTTCATACTACACAGTGCAACATTGAGCCATATCAGAGAAGTAAAACCACAAAACTACTAAACAACCAAGCAACAAATACCACCTCAATCTCTCCCCAAATACCCATCCAACTCCCCCTTCGTCCACTCCCACAACCTTCTCGCCAACTCCTCATCCCTTCCAAACGTCGACTTCCCCAGCACGCCAACAGGATCATAATACTCCCCACTGTTCACCTCTCTCGACACCGCCGCCCAAAGCTGATTCCGAACCCCAACCTCCAAACTCGCCGCAAGCCTCAACACCAACGCCACCTTGAACAAAAACCGAATATACCCAGGCGCACCAGTAGCCCCATCCCCGAGCGTCGTGCCCACCACGCCCGGATCAATCGAAGCAGCAGTCAACCACGGATACACTTCCGCTAACATCCTCACCCAAAGCACAACAGCCAGCTTACTCTGCCCATACCTCGCAAACGGACCCATACTCTCCCCATTCGTCTTGAACGTCTCGAACTGCAGTCCCCCAGGCGGCGCATACCGCTGTCCATGCGACGCCACAGCGACAATCCTCACACGACCACCTACACCAGCGTCATCCCGCTTCGCTGTTCTCTCCATGAGAGGTAATAACAGCCTCGTGAGCAGCGCATGACCCATGAAGTTCGTTCCGAATTGCACTTCGTATCGTCCGTCGGGGGTCATTCCCGGTGGTGCGGCCATGACGCCGGCGTTGAGCATGAGGATGTCGAGGCGGGTGGCGGTGGAGAGGAATACCGATGCGGCTTGCTTGACGGAGGAGAAGGAGGAGAGGTCGAGTTCGAGTAGATGGATGCGGGCTGTGGGGACTTGTTGTTTGATTGAGTCCGCTGCGGATTGTGCTTTGGTGAGGTTGCGCGCGGCGAGCCAGATTTGGGATGGGTTGTGCCGGGAGAATTCGAGCACGGAGGCCTTGCCCAGACCGCTATTGGCGCCGGTGATGAGGATCGTTT